TGCTATAGGGTGGCTTCCGCCCCTTCCTCAGGTTCCATGAAAGTCGCTATGCTCTGTCTCTTGGCTGACCAGGAGCAGGCTCCCAGTCCTGTAAGGGGAGTGGTTAAAGCCAGACAGACAAAAGCCGGAGTAAGGAAGGACACCTTCTTAGACAAAGCCAGCACTGCCTTAAATTAAGAGTGTGCAGAAAGAATTGATTCCTCTGCACCTTGCTCTTTTCACTTCTCCCTCGGTAATGCTCCTGTGGGCAAATGTCGACAATCTAGCTCTTGGGATAGCTGCAAAGTATTTAATTCCGCCAATATCCTGGAACAACTTGATGGATGATGCCAGAAATGTCCTTGAACGTAGAACTTGACACACTTTTTTGAGTTTATTCCAGGATCAGTTTCTAGCAGGGGGATTGGAGAGTCAAACAGTTTGCATTTCTCATTTTGATGTCTGTTGGCAAATGGCCCTCCTAAAAGAACTCACATCTCTCCTACAGCGAACTAGACGTGTCTGTTTCCCCATGTCTTCATCGGCCCCGGGGCTTGCCGAGCTGGAATGTTTTGCCAGTCAGCTAAAGAAAAATAATGTCTTGTAGTTCTGATTTCTTTTTTCAGTGACACATGAGTGCGTATCTTTTCGTGATGGATCTGCCATTGCATTTCTTTTTGGATAAATGCTATTTACATTCCTGGCCCATTTAAAAATTTTCTTTCTTTTTTTAAAGATTTTATTTATTTATCTTTAGAGGGGAAAGGAAGGAGAGAGGGAGAGAACTGGCCTGCAACCCAGGCATGTGCCCTGACTGGGAATCGAACCGTGGTTGCTTGGTTCCCAGGCCCGTGCTCCATTTAAAAATTTTCTATTGGAAAGTTCAGCTTATTACTTTGCATTTAGAGGGTTGTTCCTGGGGAGTGGTCTCCACTGGGGCTTGGTGGTGCTCAAATCAGGTTCCTCTGGGACTGCCTCCCGGCCCCCCGAAAGGCTGTCCCGAGCTTGCTGTGAACAGGTGTAAAAGTCCCGCCCCACCCCCATCCCCGTGCTGGGAGCTACATCAGAGTAGGGCTTGTGGTTGGTTGGCTGTGGTGGGGGCTTGGTGTTGGGCCTGCTGCTTCTGGGATCAGGGGATAGCAGGCATAGTGGGATGGCAAGCCAGGACCCGTGTCTGTGTGCAGCTGCGTGAGAGTCCAGAGTTTCCGTGGGGAGCTTGAGTTGCCGGGGTCATATCTGCACAGGAAGTACCCCGTTAGAGAGTGTTTTCCAATAAAAAATGCACTCAAAGTTGTTGGTGTACACAGTAAGTGTGACATCCAGAAATGGTCAGTTGTCTGTTTCCCTGGGTAAATAAATATCAACATAAATAAGAAAGATAAAGTCAGTGAGAACCGATTCACCGCTTGTACACTGTCGGGAGCAGGCTCGCAGAGACTGTGGCCCTGTGGGCACTGTCAGGAGGAAGCCGGGAAACACAGGGAAGGAACCTCCACAGCAGGGCGTTTGTTTTGGCCCCGCAGGTACTAACTAAGCACTTCGCGTGCATTTCCCCACTTAATCCTTATGCAAACTGTCCAAGGCGTGTGCTCTTACTAACCTCTGTTTACAAGCAAGGAAAGGGAGCCTCAGAGAAAATTAGATAATTTGCCCCAACTCTTACACCAAATAAGGAGCAAAGCTAGGATTTACTACTGAAGTTGCTGGGCGCCACACATTGGGTCCCCCTGTCTTTCCTCCCCAGCCCCGACGCCTCGGTGGAAGCTGGAGGGAGATTCCGCACCGAGGGTGGGAGATGGGGCTGTGGTGTTCTGGCCAAGTGCCCCCAGCCCCCAGCCCCCCTCAGCAGCACAGCTGGCACCTCAGAATACAGGGCCAGGAGAGGGGGGCCCTTACTTGGGGCTTTGGTGTGCGGCCTGGGAGGGCTGGAATCTATAGCTCACGCCCTTCCCTGCATGGGCCTGGGTGTGAGCGAGGGTGTGGGGAGGGGGCCCGCTCCCTGGGGGTGGGCTCTGGCCAAGTGAAACAGGCTGAGGTCAGAGGAAGGGGACCACCCTCCCCAAGGGAGTGCCTGGATGACGTGACTTTTGCGGCGGTTGGAGGGGGAACACGGGGGAGGAGGTCGGCTGTGTGTTTCTGTCTCACCTCCACGCCTGGCCAGATGGGGAATCGGTGCGGGAAGCCCGGCCAGATGCAGCCTCTGGCAGGCTTCCCTGGCCGCTGTGCGAGGCTCTTCTCCAACCGGCTTGGCAGGTCCCTCCTCCCACTCCCAGAGGGGACAGGGAGCCAGTGACGTCCTGGAGTTGGCTGTGGCAGAGAAGAGGGGTCTCCTCTGGCCACGCAGCAGGAAGCAGCAGGGAGACGTGGGCTGGGGCCCAGAAGACGTGGCCTGGTACCCCTTTACTCACTCCAAATGGCTCTGCATTCTGAGCCAAGTTTGGGGGAGGGAGAGGAGGTTTATAAGGTCTGCTCTCAGATCTGGAGACTGGGAACGAATCGAGCGTGAAACAAAGCCTGTGACTTCTAGCGCTTGGTCCCTTTCCCTTTTCAAAGTTGCTAACGCTGTCCCCCCATCGAATGACCTTAGGTCTCCGTCACTCTGCACTGTCCAACAGTGAGCAGCAGAGCGCCCCTGGCTGCCAGGAACTGGGGTCTCCCCGCTCCCAGCTCTGAGCTCTGTCCCAGTCATTCCATCGCAGCCCAGACGTGGTCCACCTGGGGTCCCAGGAGCCTTGGGGTGGGGGTTTCTCAGTGTTTGGGTGTCCTCTCCTAAGCTCCCATTTCCCCTTCGATTTTTCTTGGACCCAAATAATTTTGAAGCCTGCCCTCTCCTGCCACCAGGCCTGGCCTCCCCTTTGTGCCTGCTCCTCGCTCAGGCGCTCTTCATCCTCATCTCCCTCCCCTCAGTCCTTAAATCTCCACTTATGCCTGTGCTTCCCACCCTCTCCGGTCCCAGACCACTCCAGGTTTCCCACCCAAGAAACCCCTCAGCGTTGACGTCTGCTTCTCTGCCTTCCTCCCCTCCAACTCTCTCCTGCCCTTGACATTCCCACAAGCTTCGGAGCCAGGGCGACTTCGGCTCACTGCCTGCCGCTCACTGCCTTGGGCCTGGGGCTCCAGCCACCCCAACTGCTCCTGGTTCTCCCCCAGCTCCGGCCATGGCACCCCCATCCCCACCCTCCAGCCTTGGCCTGTGACCTTTCTTCTGCCTAGGACACCCTCCCATCACGGTCACCCCCTCGAGTTGGCCCTGCTTACCTTTCTCAGCCTTCATCCTCACCTCTCCTCCCGCATCACCTCCGGTGCCTGTCCTCTTGTTCCCCCAGGGTCACGCGTGTCTTTCCGTCTCGCCTCCTCTGCAAGTTACGTGTTGGTGCTGATCTTTCTCACGGGTCTGGGCGCTGCCCTGGGGCTGGGACTGTATTTTACTTGACTTTGGGTTCGATTGCCTGGAGCAGAGCCTGGCACATTGTGAGCACTCAGTGCTGCTTTCCTGGACTGCACTGAATTCTATCGGACAGAAGCGACCTGTCTTTACTGAGGATCTACCTCATGCCCACTGTCCTTAGAAGTTGTCGGGCAAGCAAGGGAAGCCAGATAAAATCCTTGCTTTCCAAGAACTTGTGGAACAGTTGAGAGTTCTAGGAAGGGGTTGGGGAATGGACACGCATGGGATTGGCTGAAGTGGTCGCTGTAGCTGCAGGTGCCCTCGAGGGTTTTAGTAGAAGAGAGAGAGGGCTGTGGGCAGAGAGGCTGTTCGGCCCGGAGGAGGGCACGGGGTGGGGGCCGGGTGAAAGGTGGCTGGACCAAACTGCAGGCTCGGGACCATGAGCAGGCGGAGGAACATGTTTCTAGAGGTGGGTAGCTCTCGCCTAGTTCTGCAGTTAACTCTCCTGTGGGTGCTTCCAAGGGCAGGGCAGGGTTAGCGGGTTTTGAGTGCAGTTTCTCTATCCTGGAAGCCAAGCAGGAGCTGATGGCGTTCCCAGTTGTGCTGCTGGATGGAGGAAGTGTTACTGCACACACGCTCTTCGGGGCCAGCGAGCTGTCCAGGCAAAGAGAGCAAGATGTTGCCGCCATCGGCTCTTTCCAGTCCGCGGTGGAAGGGAACCCAGTTTCTCCTCCACGAGCCTGGGAAACCTGGTGCGCTCTAAGACAGGCTTCTCCTTGATCAGCCGGGTACAGCCGTTATGTGCCAGCGTTGGTGATCCGAGACACGGGGATCTCAGAGGCCCAGTGAGTTTCCTCCGAGGCTAACGGACGTCAACATGACCCCTACCTAAACAAGCTTGTTGTGCGCTGGACGAAGGGGCAGAGGCAGTCCAGGGAGGCTTCTAGAAAGAAGGCAGTGGGTCTCGATTAGAATTAGGCAGGCTGCAACCCAGACATGTATGTGCCCTGACTGGGAATCAAACTGCGATTATCTGGTTTGCAGGCCCGCGCTCAATCCACTGAGCTACACCAGCCAGGGCTATTTCTTTTCTTTTTTTTTTTTTGATTGCCATTTTGGTTTATATATTAGAAACCCTTGACTAGGCCCTGGCTGGTGTGGCTCAGTGGATCAAGCGCAGGCCTGCGAACCAAAGCATCGCCAGTTTGATTCCCAGTCAGGGCACATGCCTGACTTGCAGGCCATGTCCCCGGTATGGGGTGTGCTGGAGGCCACCACATATTGATGTGTCACTCCCTCTCTTTCGCCCTCCCTTCCCCATCCTCTCTAAAATAAATAAATAAAATCCTAAAAAAAAAGAAACCCTTGACTAGTCCAAGGCCAACGAGGATTTGTGCCTATGTTTTCTTCTCAGACTTTTGCACTTTTCTTGCTCACACTGAGGTATTTGATCCATTTTGAGTTGGTTTCTGTATGTGATGGGAGGCGGGGTGCCCTTCTGATTGAGTCCCACTGAGGTCCCACCCACGCCACCCACCCCAGTCGGCAAGCAGTGCTTCGTTCTCGGGCTTCAGGTCTCCGCTCAAACCTCCTCTCCTGAGAGAGGCCTTTCCTACCCATCTGTCTGTCGTAGGAGCTGCCTTCTCTGCAGTTGGTTTCCGTCACTGCTCTCCGTGGTAGCGGACCATCGGAAGTGACTGTGTGTGTGTCTGACACTCCCCGCGCCTCCAGAGGACAGATTGCCAGGCTCCCTGCAGGTATGTCCAGCACCAGGTGCAGGGCCTGGCACTCCGCCGCTGTTCGGTCGTTGTCTGTTGAGAGCAGAAAACTTTTTGCTGAAGGAGCTAGTGCATCCCTAGTGGATTTCACGAAAACTGTCTGTCTAACGGTCGCTGGGCTCACAGAGGGTCCAGTGGGGAGGGATTTTCCAGCAAGCTCACAGACAAGTGGTCACTCATCCCCTGCCCTGGTGATCCCATTACTTCGAAAGACAGCGTCTTCCACCCTTGGGCAGCTCTGGTTGGAAAGTCCTTCCCACACTGGGCAAAGATCTGCTTTCCTACAGTTTGCTCTTACTACCCATCGCCTTCTTTTGGCTTCAAGGGGAGTTGGACCTTCCGTACTGATGGTCCTTTAAATATTTGAAACCAGCTGTCATGTGTCTCCTGAGTGCTTCTCTGGGCTCAGCACCTCTAAGTCTTTCAGCTGTTCCCCCTGGAGCCGAGCAGGGCTGGACTCTGACCCCTCAGTCACTGATGTAGGCCCCACGGAGGTGGGGACGGCCGCAGGCTGCTGAAGAACGCAGAGTCCCAGCTCGGGCTCAAACTCATGAGCCCCAGTCTCTTTGTTTGCTTTTCCCCATTTGAGCTGGTGAATTCCAAACTGGAGGAAGAAGTTTGAGAAAAAGCACTGACTACAGACTTTCTAACTTACTCTTCGAAATACAAATTGCACTGTAATACTGCTTTCTAGCTAAAGAGTATTTTTTTTCTCAGCTAGTCCAGTGATCTTTTTTGTATTGGTCCTCCTTCGTGGTTCTCAACCTGTAACAGCCAGTCAACTCACCTGGGGAGCCCTGCAGACCACCTGTGTTCACCCCACCTTCCAAGATCCTGACTTCAGTGGCGTGGGCTGGGACCTGGGCGGCAGTGTTTTAAAGCCCTCCACACAGGTAACTGTGTGTGCAGACAGGGTTTGAAACTTTGGCTTCGAAGCGCTGGCATTGGCCAGAGAACAGGCTAGGAGGATATAATTGTTTTATAAGATGGAATCTCCTTCAGGGGTGTCCAGCCTGTGGTCCACGGTCTCAGGTTGGCTATGACTGTGGCCCAACACAAAACCATCAGTTCACTTAAAACATTATGAGATTGCTTTTGTGATTATGTGTTGCAATGTATTTAATGTGTGACCCAAGACAACTCTTCTTCCAGTGTGGTGCAGAGAGGCCAAAAGTTTGGACAGCCCTGTGTGAGAGCCAAACAGGTTCAACAGAAGTGAAATAATAAAGAAATGTACAAAGAATGAAGTAAAACTACTGCATTTCTCCTTGTCTGAATCCAAATAACCGCTGTTATCGGCTTGTTATGTTTTTCCCAGTTTTACAATGTACGTGTATGTAGGCACACAAAACCCCCGTACACATACCTCCCCCAAAGAAATCTAATTCAGTAGTGTATGTGCTGTTTTGTAATCTGTTTTTTCTTTCTATCCTGTGGACATTTTCCCGTAGCGACACAGAAAGACCCTTCTTGTCTTTAATGCATGTGTGAATCCCCACTTGACCATTTTTAAACCAACACATTCAGTAATCCTTACTTTTTGTGGTTACAAACAGTGCAGCAATAAACTTCTTCACACAAGCAACACACACACACGTGTGGATAAATTCTTAGAGATGAAATTGCTATGTGAAAGGGAATGCAGATTTGGCATAGAGATGGCCAAAGTGCTCTCCAAAGAGACTGTTTCAGCTACCCCCTGCAATAAAACACCTAATGACAGTTATCAGCCTCGTGTCAAAAGCCGAGCTTGGCTGAGCACAGCGCAGAGGGGGGTGTGAGCGTGGCAGCCGGTGGGAGGAAACCGTGGGGTCATTTCCCCCGCAGGCTGTGTGTGGAGGGGGCGCCGGCCTCTGGCCTTGCCTGGCCGCTGTGTTTCCCAGGAAGAGGAAGCCAGACCGTGCGTGTTAACCTTTGCCTCGCTCCCCAGGGTGTGACGATGGAGTGAGGCACGTTCACAGGATGCGCGCATCCGGGTCAGCGGGCCCTGGTCAGTCACTGGTTTGGGAGTGTGTGGGGTGACCGTCCTCCTTTCCAACCCTTTCCTAGATCCCCTGGGCTGTATCCAAGCCCGTGGGAGCCCGGGCTCGTGATCCTTCTTACGGTTCAGGAGAGGATGCCTTTAAGGTTTCCAGGACTCTGGCTGCTGAATGTCACTGTGCATCTGGAGCTTTTATCAATTTCCATAGCAGGGTGAGCCTCCCCCCCTTAGCCTTGGCACAGGGCCACCCTCTCTGGGCTCCTAGGCATTACCCGAGATATTCATTGCCTATTGCTCGCCTTACTGTAGGAGCCCCTGGTTCGAGGTGGTCAGACTCATTTGCTCTGATAAGCTGGCTTGGGGCCAGAGGGTGGAGGCAGCGTTGGAGGGAGGAAGGTCCAAACGTTTGACCATGTATCCTCAGGTACCCTGCTTAGAGCTCTGGAAACCCCAAGTGGGTGTCTCTCTAGAACCTGGGCTAACTGAAGACTCTGGAAACTTTCACGGGAGAGACTAGAATTCTAAGAGTGCAGAAGATCATGCCAGGCACTTTGAAGGGAAAGATGGGGAAAGGAGGTCATCTTTACTGAGCAGCTACTGTGTTCCTACTCGTGTTCTCATTGACCTTCACAGTGAGGCAGGTAATACTACCCCTGCTTTCTGGGTGGGGGGCGGAGGCTCAGAAGCAGTGACAGCTTTTCATGCAGCTGATCTGGTTGAGTCTAAACCGGGAAAATTAGAGCGCTGGACCCACTGATGGTTCCTTATCCACCCGCTGTCCAGGTGGCCTCAGTCCCGACTAGTCACCCAGTCATGAGGCAGCAGGTGTCAGGGCAGCAGCGTGAATCACAAGGCACACCTTTGAGGCAGGGACTCTACCTTGTTCTTTTGTAGCTGTTGAAGAGAATGAAGTGGTCGGGCCTTGGAGCCAACTCCACCTTTGAACCTGAGCTCCAGCCCTTGCCACAGATCTGACCTCAGGCAGATCAGTCACCTCCTTAGGTCTCTTTGTTTGAACTGGACATGTTTACAGTACCTTCCTTATAGAATCATTGTAAGGGTTAAATGAGATAATGTGAGTAAAGTGCTTTGCGATACCTGGAACGTTGGAAGTGCTCAACCAGTACTCTATTCACTCATTTCCTCTCCGGGAAACATGAAAAAAAGAAAAAGAATGAAAAAAGCCTCTGACTGGGGCCGGGGGGTGGGGTCGGGGCTGCCCCAGCTCCCTAGTCCTTCTGCAGAGGTGCTCCTGAGCGGGGCCCTTGTTTTCCCTGCCTGGACAACAGAGTTGTTGTTGCTCTTCTGCTTTCTCAGGCCAGCTCGTTGCTCGTTGTGGGTCCACCGCCTCTGTGTGTTTCCGTCTCTGCTTCCCACTTCCTGCTCTCTTCCTACCCCTATTGCTATCCGATGGTCAATGGGAAGAAGCCAGTTCACCGTCTCCCTCTTCCTGGTGCCTAAATAGCTAATGCGCATCAGGCACCTACTGTGTGCCAGGCCCTGTGCGGGGCACCCCATGTGCACTGTCATATTTGAAGGGAAGCTCCTGCTGTCAGCTACACTTTGTAGCTAAGGACACCCTGACTCAGAGAGCTTAAGACACTTGCCCAAGCTCACAGAGCGGGGAAGTGTTGGAGCTAAAATTTCAACCCGTCAGCTGCTTTTAAAGCCTTCTTTGTCCGCTGCGATGCCAACACTGCCCTTGGTCCTTTCTGAGCCTCACCCTCTGGCGCCACATCCCTCCACCCTGCATGTGCCCTACTTGATTTGTCGGTGTGAGTCTGGCTGCCCCAGCCGAGCCGTACGGGCCTGCAGGCTGGGGACTTGGCCTCAGTCTTCAGCTTGGTTGGCACCAGGGAAGCACTCACTCGACATCTGCTGGCTGCTTTGTTTCTTCACTTATTTAGTGGACGGGAAGTGAGCACCCCTTAGGTGTAAGGTGTCATGCTGAGCGTGACTTGCCATGATCATGCTGTGACCTGCCTTCAGGGGGCTTCCATTCAGGTGGGAAGATGTACAGGGGAGCTCACGGAATCCTCACTACAGCCCAAAGTGAGGTAACCACTGCCATCCCGTTCTGTAGAGTCATAAATGGAGGCACCAGTGACATGGAGGCTTCCTCCAGACCCCTTTGCCTACCCTCTACCCTCCAAATTCAATAAGCAATGAAGGCCCTCAACTTACGCAAACAATGGCGGACAGTGAGTGTGATGGACACCCATGAAATGCGAAGGTATCTGATATTGCACAGGAGCCTAATGTCTAGCCGCCCCTCCGTGTACTTATAAAAAGCCCCTTTTCCCAGAGGAGGGCCAGACGGTCTGTAGCTGCAACACCTGCTTGGGTGGTACCTGCTGGACACAGGGTTCTGGGGGGAGTGGTCCGCCTGCACATGCCCCTTCCCTCCCCTCCCATAGCTCACCTGGGGTTCACTTACACTGTGACTGCTCCGGAATCATGAGGTCCAATAGGGACCCTGGCGTAGGGTGCTCAGAGAACAGGTTAACCCTTAGTCAACCTGTGCATGTGCATGCTGGGGTGGAGGTCCCCCTCCAAGTCCCGGTTTCTAAGTGAGGGCTGCTTCCTACATCAACAGCCCTAGTCCTAGCTAACTGTTGTCACCGGTGGAGGGGGGTTGGAGCACTGGCTGGGGCCCAGGGAAAAGAAGGCCTTCCTTAGTAGACTGAGCCACAGTGCCACAAAGATACACAATTTCCTCCACAGTTGCTAACTCCTGTCTCTGCTTCCCTGCAGCAGAGTTGAACGTCGAATACTTGCTGGCACGTTCTGATTGAACACAGGCAGGTCCTAGGCCTTCTAGGACTGGCTGGGCCATAACTTTGTGCTGTTAATTGGTTGCAGCCCAGGTCTGATCTTGGACACCCCACCACAGGAACGGGGCTGGGCTTCATTCTCTGAGCCCTGGAGTTGAGCTGCGGTCCCAATTTGCATTGAGGCTGCTTTCCTGTTGAAAGGAGCAAGACTTGGAAGCTGTGGAAGTCTCAGAAGCCTCAGACATTTCTGAGCTTAATGAGCTGAACAGAAGGAAGGCGGCCCAAGATGGCCTCAGAGTGGGTGGGCTGGTGAGTCCAAGCCTTTGTGAGGGTGTCTGCTGGGAGCTACCATGGCCGTGTCTGTGGTGGAGATCCCGGTCTGCAGAGGCCGAGTGTGACCAGGGGACAGGAGGCCCAGGGGCTTCCTCTTCAGGGAAGCTGGATGGACTTGCCGGTCTTTCGTGAGCCTTCCTAGACGCCTGCCATCTGCCTGAATGGCCCTCGACAGGGTAAATAGAAGCCACGGGCTTTTTAAGTCCAGAAGGAAGGGAAACTCCATCCAGGAAACATAACCCCAAAGTGTGTGTACACAGGGTGTTTAATTGCAAACCTTTCTGGAGACACAGCTGCTGGGTAATGTTATCTCTGCTGTTCCTGTGACCAGGGAGGTTTATCTGGGCCCCAGGACACAGAGCTGGCCTTCTCAGATGACCTCTGCCCCATCCCCTCCCCTCCACCTGCTCTTTCTCTGAGTTTATCACTGGGCTTTCCAGTGCTGGCAGCGCCAGCTCAGGGAAGCTCGAGAAAGTCCAATGGGGCGGGGTCGGGGGAAGGGTTGGGCTCGAATTTTGTGTATCCATTGCTCCTCTGGAGGGATAATCTAGGGTGTTCAAGGTTTGGGAGAAGCAGAGGTGCCTCCTGCTCAAATGAGAGAAAGGGGCCTGGAGACCGGCCTCATCTATGGGCTCAGCTCCAGGAAGGTCTCTGACCATCCCCTCCACTCGGGATGTAGACTGGATGGTCCAGGAGCAGAGGCCCCGGGGGCCTCTGGCAAACCCCAGAGGTTTGTGTGAACTGGGGAACAGGGGTTCATTTCCCCATCCTCACACGGGAGTCTCCCTCGTGCCCTGAGCAAGTA